GGGCTTCGAGTTTAGGCTTTAGGCTTCAGTCAGGATTGAAGGCTTAGGGTTTGGGGTTTAGCATTTAGGGTATGAGAGTAGGCCTAGAACTGCAAGTTTTACGGCCCACGATGCGGCGTCGGTGGCATTTGACGTCAAGTTCTGAAATCTTTGTCTGCCACAACCGCAGCATCATGGGAGGGTATCAAGATCAAGTCGCATCCCTAGCGAGTTTATGGACCCTCGCAGTGGAAACCCCTAAACCCCATACCCCAAACCCTAAACCCTGGATTCGAAACCCCAAACCCTGAACCCTAAATCCCGGACCTTAAACCCTCAACCCTAAATCCTAAACCGCGCTTCAGGATCTGAATGAAACTCTGCGAATCTCTACCGGCACCTGGGGTTTTGGGGGAGGTTAGAGCTCAGGGCTTAGAGGGTTTAGGGTTTAGGGTTTGGGGGTTCAGGGTTGCGGGTTTGGGGGTTTAGGTTTAGGGTTGAGGGTTTGGGGTTTAGGGTTTTGGGTTTGGGGTTTAGGGTTTAGGGTTTGGGGTTTAGGGTTGAGGGTTTGGGGGCTTTGGGGGTTTCGGGTTTGGGGTTTAGGGTTTAGGGTTCCACCCTAAACTGTAAAACCTAAGCCCTAGCCGCTAGACCCTAAAACGAAACCGCTCCGTTCTTCAGGGGAAATCCTTTCGCGCCCGTGGATGCTGCGCCACGTTTTTTCCGACGGCTGACCGGGACTGTCGGAGCGGTGTAGGGCCCGGCGCTGTCCTTGGCACTGCTGCGGCAAACGCGTGCAGGTTTGGGTTTAGGCAGGCTTCAGGGTGCAATGTAGCGGCCTCACAATTAGAATAGGGTTGTGGGGTATTTTATACTACAATTAAAAAAGGGAACCCCCAAAGAGTATAGGTAATTATTAAGGCCACTACGTTAAATAGGAATAGCAGGCGAGCGCGGCTAACCACCACAGCAGGCAGAACTAGCTGGTTGGGTTTTTCTTGCGCTCCGGCTTTCCAAATCCGGACCTGGTTGAGGTGCTCAAGTGAGCTTCGCACCGAACACAGAGATGCACAAATTAATCCTTCAAACTGCAGCGTCTGCATTTCAAACTGCAGCGGTCCAGTGGCAAGCCACCCCTCGCTTCAAAGTAAGTAAGCCGCTCGCGCCCAGATTTCTCAGGACGATTGAAGTGACTGAACGGTCTGCAGCGGGAACTCGTTGCAGGACTGATTGCAAGTCAGAGCCCAATCCGGTCTCTGGAGCATTGACAGGAAGCCCTGCCACCAGTCCCCGGTATCGAGAGATTCGTTTAAGGCTCTGCTGATATTAGCAAGAATACTTGGGCAGGCGTCCGTTCTGCAACTGCATCTCGTGTCCACCGGTGCACTTGCTTTCAAGCAGGTTTCTGTGCAATCAAACTTCGCATACAAAGCATTTGCCTGATCCAAGGCCTGCCCCGCCCCGCTCTTCATGGTGTCATGGATTGAAAAGCAAAACCTCTCGCAGAAGTCTGCGGCCTCACCGACCGTTTTGGTCCCTGGTGCCTGGGCATGACTCTGGATCCAATCCAGAAGCTCGGAGGAGCTGTATCCGAGCTTGTTCTCTGCGAATTTCTCCAACTTCTCAAGAATTGGATGGAACATTGCTTTGAGCTCTGCGGTCTTGATCCCGGCGGCCATCCCAATATCTTCTTGGCTGCAGAGAGGCCACGGCCCCAACGTCGGATACCCGCGGCCTGACTGCGGCGTCGAACACAAGTTGGTGGGGTTGGGCCATGGGAAGTTAGTTTCCTTGAAAGTCTTGCAACCTGTGAGGCAGCTTACATCGGGATCGGCTTGAAACGTCGCAGGTGCAAGATAAAGATTTTTAACCTGCGCGTTGAGCCTGTCGCAATCAGCTGAGTTCGTAGAACTTATAGAATGCTCGCAATCTGAAAAACCATTCATCGACCAGTTTGCAGGATACTCCCAATCACATCGTGGAACATACCCTTGCGTCCAAATGATCAAACCATTGTACGAATCCTGTAACAGTGGAACATAGACTCCAGCTACTTCGCGTAGCCGTTGCAGCTGTTGGCTTTTCGCGGCTGCATCCGAAGCTAGGAAGGCCATTTGTGCCCTGAGGTGCAGATGCATCATTACGAAATGGAGCTGAGGCAGAAAAGCGCCATGGGCCCAATACTGCTGGCACTCGGTGAGGACCGAAATGTCCGTCGTCTGAATCTGATCACTGCGCTGCAGGGGCGTCGTGCCGTCTGACCCGACGCAGCCCACCTGAGCTCCAAAGATTTGGGCGTTCGAGCCCTCAAAGAACTGAAGCTTGAGATTCAAGGCATTCCAGTACTGGTTTCTCTTGTCTGCTTCTGCCGCTGGGAGGCCAGCAATCTGTCCGATGTCTATTGGTATGTTGTAGAGCAACTTCATCAAATTGCCCAGTCTGTCTTCAGTGGTTTGCATGGCTTCTTTCACGTCTTGCATTGTGATGAGCTTTCGCACATTCTTCATGATGGTCTCGTACAGCTTTTCAAAAGCGGCCTGCATGCCGTCGGAAGAGCCTCCAAAAAGGGACAAACCAAAGGTGATCGCAATGCTCAGAAAAGGACCGACATCAGGAATTTCCATTGCCGCCTGCCCGAGGACGGTGCCAATGCCCTTTGCGAAATCGACCCAGTTGTCCTGACCATTGACCGACCCCTGGACAAAAGCCGCCATGTACAACAGGCCGTTGATCATGGCGCCGCCCAGTGCAAAAGTGGCGCGCTTGCCGTTCGCATCGGGGGGGCCCCATTGCATTTTGTCCCACTTGGCCTTTGACATCTGCTCTGCAATGTCCTGGAAGCTGGTCGTCAAGTGTATTGATTGTGTAGTTGGAGCAGAGGTGGGAGCAGGGGTAGCCGGAGAGGTCGTCGAGGAGGTAGGCGCAGAAGTAACAGGACGGTCACGCCGCCCGAACATTCCCCCCCAGTTCAGGGACAACAAGCTGGAAGCGCCTTCACACACGGCACGCTCATCATCACATGATTTATAGCCCTGACTTGCTCCATTGGAAGATGCGTGCACTGCACCTTGCACACCGACGACAGCTGTCAGAGCAGCCAACAACAGGTGGATTGTCATTGCAACCACCTGGCCTTTCTACTGCCTTGCTATTGGACAGTGGCTAAAAAATTGCGACGAACAACCACGAGTGGCCAGCACAAGGAATAAAAGCACCTGTCGCCAATTATCTGAAGTGTCTAATGCAAGTCGGTCCCCAACCCCTAAGCCCTAAACCCTAAACCTCAAACCCTAAACCTTAAACCCTAAACCCTAAACCTCAAACCCTAAACCTTAAACCCTAATCCCTAAACACTAAGCACTCTCGACCCCCAAGTTGCCCTGGCTTGAAGCCCCAGTCTCCTCGGCCCTACCACGAAAGACTAAGACACCTTCGATCCAGGGCCACGGCTTCTGCAGCAGCCGGACACGGCGTGGGTGCTGCCGGGCCTCACGGTTTAGCGTTTAGGGTTTAG